AATGTAAGGCAGAAAGATATATTTTCAAGAGTAAAAAGATAATTTATTATACCCCAAACTAGCCATTACACAGAAAATCTGAAACCTTTCCTGTATTGAAACACGTTTTGACTCTGCTCATAGTGAAAAAGTCAAGCTACAGGGAACATAAGCAGGTTTTTGAAGCTATACCTTCTGTTTCTTTACCTGAGTACAAGTCACACAGGTGTGTTTATAAAAGCCACATTTACGTGGACTTTTCTGCAATGACAGGCAGCAAGCAAAAAGAGGAAGAAAAAAGGAAAAATCTTAATGCTCACTTCATAAACTGAAGAAAGAAAGAAGACACAAAGGAAAGCTAGCAAAAAAGACAAGAACTAACAGTGAAAGGAACCTCCAGGGAAAGAAAGGGCCCAATCTTAAATGCAGACACAATTCCAGCTGGAATCCACTTCGGCCCCTTCTCTAAACTCCAGTGCTGGTCCTGACCACTTCTAATACATTTCATGTTCTCTACAAATACTGTGATTCCCGTTTTTATTCAGATCACCACAGATGCAGGACAGGGATAACAATAACAACAACTACAAAACCTTCATTGTTGCTTCAAAAGAAATGTTCAAAAACCTGTTGCTGAAACACCACCCAGACCTATCGCATCCCTAAACGTTCCTGTTTTAGAAGCCATAGATAAACCAAGGTTAATGATGTCCTCCATGTGCTTTGCTATGCGCAGTGTTTCCCTTTATTAATAAAAGCGAAGCAGTTGCACTTGTAATCTTATTGGTTGATTACAGTTTGATCCATTTGTACCCACCTTGTAATTTTGCCCTATAAAACATTCTCGGAGAAATGACTTTGGTGCGAACCCACTCAGGAACCCTCCTGTCTCTCAGGACTATTCATGTTCCCCAAATAAACCTTTCCTACTCCAAAAAAAAAAAAAAAAAAAAGTGTGGCTCCAAGCACAGCTGGGAAAATACAGCTGCAAAACGAAAACAATATTTCAAAAAGAAGTTAAAATATAATCCTTTAGTTAACAGATGCTTTTGGTATTATAAATTGTTGACATGGTGGGCAGCGAATACAGATGTACCTAAAAGTGATTTAAAAACTGTGGACTATGATACTCTAATGTATTCTGTTATAAAGTTGGATTGTGGACATAGCTGCACAACTACAAAAATACTACATTGTAAGCCAGGAGCAGCAGTGCAAACCTGTAATCCCAACACTCAGGAGGTTGAGAGGCAGCAGGACAGCCACAAATTTGAGGCCAGCCTGGGATATATAGTGAGATCCTGCCTCAAAACAACAACAACAAAAATACTAAACTGTTCTAGATGCACTGGCACATGCCTATAATCTCAGCAACAGGGAGACTGAGGCAGCTTGAATCACAAATTTGAATCACACCTAGGCAACTTAGTAAGACCTGTCTCAAAGTTTAAAAAAACAAAGAAACAATTAAATGGCTGGGGATGTATAGCTCAGTGCAAAGGCACTGGGTACAAACCCAAATACTGCAAAAACATATCTAAAAAATCAAAAGCAACAGTAAAAAAATCCTAAATTGTTTAATTATAAACTTTGAATGGCTAAAACTTACTGTGTTTAAATAAAGCTCTATAAAGCTGGAGAAAGAGGAGAGAGGATGATGGGGAGCGGGGAGAGCAAGAAGGAGGAGTATGAGCTGTTCTAACTACACTCATACTTTGAGTTTTAGAGCCCAGGTGCCAAAAATTACACAAGTGATTTTCATGAAAGCTTTTAAGTACTGTACTTTCCTACTCTTGAAGTCTATCATTCCTTTAACTTTGTATTTGCTTTCAATTCAAGAGGCACACAGAGTTAAGTGCATATGCAAAACCAGGCCATCTGTGAGTGGAAGGCTGCCTTTGGGCTTTTTTTATAATTTCAGAGACTCTTAGTTTTTTAATTTCCTGTACCCAACACAGAATGTGGTACACACTCAATGCCAGTTTCATGTTGACTAAATATGCCTGTATTATAATGAAGAATAAAAGAAAACAAGTATGCAAATATAAAAGGTTTTACAGCTGGGGATTTAGCTCATTGGTTTCACCACCTATCTTGAAAGTTCGAGGGCCAGAGTTCAATCCCTGGTACCAAAGAACAATAAGGTTTTAAACATTCTAGGAAAACAAAAGACTCAAAATCTAGGCCTCCAAGCAAACTTTTTGAATTATAACTGTAAAAAACAGTTCTGAAGAAATATATAAAATTAATCTACATGATGATTAAGATGCTAATAAAAAAATGGTGCCAGGTACCACAACAGCAACAGAGCTTTGCTGTTTTCTGGATATTATTCTTTTCTTTGTTTTTTTATTTGTTTTTTTAATGCAATGTGCTGAATGTCTATAATTTTGTTCAAATGACTGCAGAACCTGGAAAAGCTGTTGCTGATATTGATGCATAACGTACTGCTATTGTTTTTTTTATATAAATATAAATACACACACACACACACACACACACATACATATATAATTTGAATTTTTGGAAATTTTAATGGTGCTGTCAACTCTGGAAAAAGTTTCCCAATTTACTGTGTTGAGTTGGCATTGTCCAGAAATGGACAGCCATATTGGTCTAGAAATGTTAATTTTTTTATTTTATTTTATTTTTTTCCATTTGTACAGGGGTAACGCACTGTATTAAATATGTAAGGTCATATCTACATGGGTTTGATTACAGAAACTAATAAAGTATTCTCTAAATAATAAAAAAAAGAATAAGATAAGACTACAAGAACAAGAAGCAATTTAAATATGTTAAGGGACCATTTTCATCTTCAGAATTAAGGATTATTTTAATCTTACATCATCGCCTTTTCTCTTTTACTTTCCTTTATAGTTTTATTTTAGGATTCCCTATTCTTAATGTTCATACAGAGATTTCTTTAACTGAAATACCGAAAAGTTTTTCTGGTGTGAAAAACTATAATAGTACACAGTATCCTAATGAGATAATTAATAATGTGAAATAGTAAGTAAAGGGCTAAAGGTGTACAGAAAGTGGGAAGGGTGGGGGAAAAGTAATAAGGGAGAGGGAAAAAATATGAGAAAAGTGTTTGTAAATGGGGAGGGGAGAGGGGGTGAAGGGAGGTCAGGGACAGGGGGAAAAAATGAGAATCAAGACCTGTTATGTAAAGGTACAGGATCCCAATAATGAATGTAACTGTACTGTATACCTGGATTGTACCAATAAACTCAATAAAAAGAAAAAGAAATTAATCTACAAAGCAAAACTGATCAGAGCAGCAGAGTGTGAGACATAAGAACAATATCAAGAGAACCCATTTAGGGCCGGGGATTTAGCTCAGTGGTTCAGTGGCCTGCCTTGCAAGCACAAGGACCTGAGTTCAATCCCCAGTACCAAAAAAAAAAAAAAGAGAGAGAGAACCCATTTAACCAGAATTTACAAAATATTTATAATGAGCAAGACACTAGCTACAGTGGCAGAGGCACAGTGACAAACATGGTTCTCCTTGTGGAGGCATTTCATTTTACTGTACAGAATATCTGAATTCTTGCTTTTTTCCCTTTTTTTTTTTTTTTTGGATACCATGGATCAAATCAGAACCTTGAGCTTGGAAAGCAGGCAACAGCACCACTGAGCTAAATCCCCCACCCCATTCTTGCATTCTTCACCCATCACTGTATTGATTCTTAAAAAAATAATAACCTGAAAAAACTATGAGCATTATAAACAAAACTAAATAAATAGAGAGGGCAGCTATAGATAGGGTGGACAGAAGAGTCATCTGATAATCTTGTATTTCCTTTGAAACCGGAAACATTTCTTTTTTGGTACTGGGATCGAACTCAGGATCTTGTGCTTGGGAGGTAGGCAGTGGAACCACTGAGCTAAATCCCTGGCCCAAAATGCATTCTTTTTCTTCTAAGTTTTATATTATATCGTACACCCCCAGGTTTAAAAATGTACTGTCAGAGTTTATTTTTAAGACAGTTAATTTATCTTAAAAAAAATAGGGGCCAGGGATTCAGCTCAGTGGTTCCGCTGCCTGCCTCCCAAGCGCAAGGTACCAAGCTCCATCCCTGGTACAAAAAAAGAAAGAAAAGAAAAGAAAAAAGAATGTATTTCATCTACAAATAAACTATAAATGAAAATAACTATCTTTACTATCATTCACTACTATGTAAACTTTCAGAAATGAAATCTGTTTACCCTTAGTATTTTACCTAATGTATGATAGATTAAACCTCTTAAATACAACAAAATGGTACAAAATTATTTACCCATCACACATAAGAATATATAATCAAAAACACATTTTGACAAAAGCACACATGATCTAAGCTGCCAGTCTTCCCAGGACATATTCTACTCTAATAAAAAAACTGCCTACTACTTTATTCAACAGGAATATTAACCTAAAAAGAGAAAGACAAAATAAAAGAGACAAGTAAAGCAATGTACAAAACTGTGACAACAAGCTCTATATTCAATTACATTTGCATTCCTGGTCTTCTTGGACCTCCCTCAATATTCTAATATATAAAACCAAATATAACCTAGATATGGTGTAAAAATATATATATATAACAAAATTGCTCTTTCCAACCTGAATAAAACTATGTTTTCCTCCTCTCCTTTCCTACTGTTCTTACATCTAAAAATAAACAATGTCAAAAAAAGTAAAAAAAAAAAAAAAAAAAAAAAAAAAAAAA